ATTATTGCATGATGGAAGAAGTGTACAGATTGATGAATCGCGCCCAGTTGTTTGCGTGATGATGATTCACGGAGAATAACCCTTAACAGTTGTCCGTAATACGGCGAGGAACGGTTGAGATGTTGCGCGCACGTATGACTATTGCATTTTTTCCTAGCAGAGTTGATGGTAAATAAATTGAATTTTCAGTGCGATCTCTTTGTTGACGGCTCGTTTACGAGCCCGCTCACCGTCCAGCGGTGGAGTACTGGAGAGCAGCACACCGTATCGTCTCGAACTGATACCATCGGCCCACTTCCTCAAAAGCATTAGCGTTGCGAAGCTGATCAGTGAACGTGATTTCAAAACGAAAACGTGAGTAATACTACTCTCCTCTATGTGCAGCGATGTAAGATTGTTGCACATAAAATGTGTTTTATGGTATTGAAAGTGTGAGTTATTACCGCGTGAGCTTTATTGTACTGCAAAGATGGAGTTCAAGGCACTCAAGCCCTCTAACATTTCTTGCAAACTTCTCAAGTCTTTGTTTCTTGTTGAGAGTTGAAAGGTTCTCTTGAAAGCAGGCTGAATAACAAATGAAGTAGCAAAACAACCTATCGAATAGATTAGATTCACTGTGTATATCACATACAATTATGAGTCCAAGGTCATATCTTACACTGAATGCGTTTTGTAATGAAATGGTCAAATAAGATATGCAGCGTGAATGAATTTAAAAATTCATGTGTAACTTCTTCGGTATGTTCAATACAGCATTACAAAAGGCATGATTTTAAACACAAACCTATAGCCTTGAGCAGGAAAGTGGCATGAAATACATTTTATAAATCTATTCGCTCATTTTGAGTCTCTCTCGTTAGAAATCATCGGCCAATATGGGGATTCAGATCAGTGTTCGTCAGATCAGTTGTCAAAGTTAGCCTTTCGTGAAGACTGGTGATTCCCTATGTTAATATTGTCAGTTGCGCAGAAATAAGGATGTCAAAGATGGAAGAATGTAGTTTTTGTGATGTTGAAGCGTAAACTCATAATGAGTTGAAATCGCTGATTGAATGAATGAAAATTAAAATTTCTCTGCCTTGCAACACTATTTACAAACATTTATGCCTTAAGAAATGAAAGCAAATGTTCTATTCGAATGCATCTGAAATTGCAGAAATGCATCTGTTGCACCATCGTCCATCGATACAAGTGGACTTTCTGGTGGATTGGGAGCGACACTGGCAGGATCACCGCATACAGCAGCAGCAGCAGCAGCAGCAGCAGCAGTTGCGTCAGTAGGCTTGCCACCGTTGAACGTCATTCAACAGCTAGCGTTTCCGTATTGTTTTGACGTGAACTCAGCAACGCAAGCTACCGCAGTCGATCAAAGTACCGCACCCGCTAATACTATAATACCACAATCGACCACGACCAACGTCAATTTGTCAGCGCAGAACGCAATCACCCAACTGAACATGTTCAACGCACCGTCAACAATCAATTCATCCCTACTCAACCAATTCTCAACGTTCTGTCACTATACCGCCACCCAAATGGCTGCCACCGCTGCTGCCGCACAAATGCTCCAGCAGCACAGTCACAATCAACTACAAACTCAAAACAACGCAATTAAACAGAACAACAGCCGAAATAACTTTGAGGCAAATTTCATTTCAAAACGATAACAGATAACCAGTAATGTTATAAACATTTACTCATCACCTCCAGCTTAGACTGCTTACGTGAATTCACAAATCAGCTTACTGGTTATCTGTTATCGTTTTCCTTAATCTGCTACAGCTACCTGTATACCTATTACCCAGCAATTTTCAGCAGACCAAAGGTGTATCGATGATGCCATCAAAACCGAGAAGGATAGACACATGCAAGAGGAGCGATCAACAAATAGATTATTCTAACACTAAATCAGTGTATCCCGGCAAAGTCACATCGTCAACAAGTGAACCAAAGCTCATTCAAAATTCAACGGTAGCTATGATAATTTACATAGCTGAATTGATTGTATTATTTGGTGTTAGCATCACTCTTGATCAGAATTGATTGCTGTTGATATGATAAACGATCAAATATTTGAAGAGCGCTTGTAACGATGATGAAGATGCGAGAAGTCATAAAGAGGCAAAAATTGAAGTGTTCAGTGAGGATGAAGAAGATTATGAGGATGGGATAGCTGACGGTGGTGATGAACAACATCAGAATGACGGTTCGTTTGTTGTGCTGTTGAGGGTCGATCAGATGAACGGAATTCATGTTGATCGCTATTATTAAGTGACTTTCCTTATTGCTATGAGCACGATCATCCACGCTCGTCAATGGCTGGAATCAAAGTGATTTTGGTTGAAAGGCTACAATATTGGCGTGTAAACGAGTTTATTTGTTGCAGATAATAAGAACAGATGGGAGAGCGGTATGGAAGAGGAGGTGACTGATAATGGTGGATGTATGACAGAGGATGATCAGCACAAATTCAACATCACATCGGTTAGCTGCTGCTTAATTTTACTCTGAAATTTCATTGCTTGCCTCGTGACTGTTCGGGTTGGAGTTTTTGGAGTGAACGTGATGTAATGAGATTATGACTGTTGAGTAACAATTTAGAAGTGTGTGTTGAACGAGTACGGAACCGAATATCCACCGCTGCCCACAGCTGGTTGCAGCCATGCACCGTTGAGATATTCGGCTGTCGTCAAAGGAATGAAACCAGTTGCATGTGCAAACGCAAATGTCAACAAATTACCACTCAGTCAAAGTAAAGGTTAATAAATGTTGCGATTTATTTTGCGAAATGCTGACTGTGATAGAAGTGCTGCTTATGCACATGGTAGATGTTCATAACAAGCACAATCATATGACAACAGCATGGTCATTCTTTGAGTTTGTCCTCTTTTAAAAGCTGTTAGATGAAATTCATTTGACCTTGAAAAATCACACCTTACTTTGCTAAGTGGTTAGGTCCTGATTTCGAATGATACTGAACTCAGTACCCATGTTCAGTTCGAATTTAATTACGGGACAAATAATTTTCAAGTAAAATGCAATCAGCATCTGAATTCGATCGGTAACCTTCAGATAATACCAGTGTTCATTCACCGCATCAAAGTGACTGTGCATCTTCGTCTGTCTCAACTCAAATGTCACAGTGGGATGAGGTTATCATCGAGCGGGGCGCTAAATTCAGTAAACCCGCGCCGCAGTGTATACACTGGAATAATCCGAAACATCGACTCGATTTTCCATGCAGATTCTGGCATCCCCGTGAACAATGTCGGTCAGTTGTTGCAACGTCTGATTACGAATGAATCTTGCATTTAGGCTTTGTTGTAACGTAATATGAAGCTGGAGATTCTTAGAATTAAATCAGTCAGAGCAAGAAGTGAATTGAAGAGCTTTTCAAAGTCATTAAATTCGAATTCGATCGGTGTGATAGAATAACATGGCTGTGATATGTTATCTAAATTCACATCTTCAACTAAACGTTTGCAGTTATTATCCGAACTGTTCCAGTACAGCTGACGAATGTGGATTCGCGCATCCATTCTGTGCTGATTTCTGCCGTTGTCCAAAAGGTAAACGTGATCCACAAAAGAACCATCGTCTTGCGGATGACAGATACTTCGGTAGGTACCATAAGGAACTAGACTAAGCCCATAACCCGAAAATAATGACCACAGAATTGAAACTGAAGAAAAGCTGTTTTAACTTGCATTATATCTACTTCATTGTTCACGGTAATCATTCGATGATGTCTCGAAGAAACCTCCCTCCCTTACAATTCGCTGATTCTCGTCAGTCCTATTGCGAATGACTTTTTTGTTAAGAACTTGGCTCACGATCAGTATATTACTGGTTATTGTACAATCTTCATAAATATAAGAATATGACAGACATTGTGGTGAACACTGAATGCTTAAGGTAGTGGTGATCGAGTGAAATATGGTAGTGCAAGTACGCAGTGAGATATGGTAGCAATCAAACCGATATTTAAACCAAGTGATTCCCGTTCGTCGAAAATATTTCCAGTGATCATGATGTATCGCTTCGATAAGATACTCACAAATAACATCCAACCATTATTCGAGGTGTTTGTGGAATGTACTCCATGAAAACCTGCAAATGGAGTGATTAATGCCTTACGCTATTTTATCAGTAACTCGTTCAGTTGTTTCGCGGGTCTTTTCCTATGATGCTTTTTGTTTATGGATATTTTTTATTATCTTTTACATTCTTCGACAAATTTTATTTGTATTTTGATTCATTCCGATGAAATACTCTTGCGGTTGACGTTCACTACAGCTGTTTGTATAGCTCGTTATTGTATCGCTCAGTGTGCCAGAAGTTCGCTGGAAGCTGAGCGCTGATGCGAAAAACTTTCAGCTCAGCGAAAAACTCTCGAAAAATTCAAGCGAAACGAAGTTTAAAACCAAAATGGAATTTTAAAATATTCATGCCTATCATTGGATCAGTAATAAATTATGAGCGTGGGAACGAGCGATTCTGCGAAATTACCAATCGATGGTGCATCGATCTGCAAGCACACCTTAACCTCGCAAGAATATTTAAATCGGTTTTTCATCATTTATTGGATGGTGTGGTGTTCTTTTTTTGTTTTCCTTTCAATACAACCGCCCTAATAGCGGCCGAATTCAGCAAATCTGTGATGGTTGTGTACAGTGGTCTTGAAATGATTCACATTATTGATTGTATTTTGTATTATGGTCATTATTTATTATTAATAATAATAACATTATTACCTGATATCTTTCTTTTATTATCACTTAAATTATCGATATTATTTTTAATTATTAATGTTATCATCAATATTTTTATTTTTTCATTATAATTGATATTGTTTAAATCACAATTGTTATTAGTATTATTATATGTGTAATGATGTTATTCGTAGATATTATTATTATTATTATAAAAATATATTATCACTGATATCAAAATAATCATAGTTATTATAAAATCTCTCCATTAATATTTATTTATAAATAATCATGTTAATTTATTCATATTCATATTGTTTTGAGGAACATTTATTCCGAAGATTTTTCACGTTTTTGGCTCACCATGAGTGCCTTATGGAATTGTTCATATCCGAACGATTGATTCACTTGTTTTGTTCCTTTCATTTTTGTTTGTGACGTTCACTTTTATTTGATGTTGTTGTGGCAAAATGGCTCTTATGTGTTCATATTTGAAGTTTTATTCGCTTTTTTCTCGAGGTTAAAGGTTATTCAATCGACAATCCTTTTCTTAACGAAAGCAACTCAGTGGTCAGGTGGTGCAATATAATTTCGAGGTGGCATTAACAAATTCATTGCTATTCAAAGAATGCTTATCAGTTGCCCCCACATAGGTTGAAAGTGGTGAAGTTGGAGAGGAATATTCAATGAAAATCTGAAGTGATACCCTCAAAAAATCTGAAATAACGCAAAAACATGATAGGTAAAATTTTTGAAAATATACAGAAAATATTTCGACATCTCACGCAGCTATGCAGTAATGGACAACCTAACCTGAATTTCACTTACAATTAACACCACAACTCCAGCCTGGCTTGAGAGCTGAGCAGTTTATTACATGTTGTTGACATCAGCACCGTAGATATTCGATCACGTACAGCACGAGCATGAATGCAAACTAGCTTACTACAATCGGTGCACATTAAGAAGTTCAGGTTAATCTGCTTCATGCTGCATCGCCTGTACGACAAAAAAACCTCAGATTATATACTATAGCCAGATACAC